GGAGGACATTATGCTGAGTGAAATATCTCAGTCACAAAAGGACAAATATTATATTGGGCTACTGTTGTAAAATGGGACTGACATCAGGGTTGAGGGAAGACAAAAAAGGAGGGAAGGAATGATGTATATTGCATTGAAACAGATGAGGGAGAGAACTGTTTTAAAAGGCTATATGAATGGGTACTCTTGTCATTATAGAAGTCCAGAGTGAAAGTTGCATAGTGGAGTGGACTTGGAGGGGAGGGACTGCATAACAATGAAAGAGTTTTTCTTTCTTTTCAAGAAGAAGAGTGAATTGAGGGGGAAGGTGTGGGTAGGGAGAAAAGTGTAAGAATGAATGACTGGAAATCCTAACTCTCTGTAAACTTTCATTAAAATTAATTAAAAAAAAAATCAGTGTACAAAAAAACCCCCACAAAAACCAAAAACCCACACACATAAAAAAAAAGGGACTGAATCAGGGCTGAAGGAAGACAGACAAGGAGGGGAGGAATGATGTATACTGCACTGAAACAGATGAGGGAGAGAACTGTTTAAAAGGGATCTATGAATGTGTATTCTTGTCATTACAGGAGTCCAGAGTGAAGGCTGCATAGTGGTGGAGTGGACTTAGGGGGAGGGAATGCATAACAATGAAAAAGTTTTTCTTTTCAAAAAGAATGAATTCAGGAGGAGGAGGGGAGAAAGTCCAACAATGAATGACTGGAAACCCTAAGCTGGTAAACTTTCTTTAATTAAAAAAAAAAAAGAAAAGAAAAACCAGTTGCTTTATGTCTCTATTGTTCTCAATAAAAAGAAAAAGTAATTCCTTAACTACAGGTTTGTGGACTGTATCAATGTTCTCAAACTTGAGTGGCATAAGCATCATCTACAGTGTGGGTTCCAAGAGATTTTTCAGGCTTCTGAATTGAGGCCTGACCCCATGAAGTTGTTGGTTGTTCCTAAGTTGCCTCAACAATATTCTCTTTTTTTATGTGAGATGAAGTTGACTGCAGGAACCAGGGAAGCTTAGAGGGCAGTGGGTTTAAAATAATGTTGGTGGGATAACCGTGAAAAGGACAGTGATAATGATAAGTAAATACTGTCACCAATGTCATTATTATCCATATAGAAACTGCAGAAATGATAGATCTTTGAATGTGCATATTTTCACCAAAATAATTAAAAACAAAACAAAGTGCCAGAATTCATCCCTAGAGTTTCTATAAAGTGGGTCCAAGGTGAAAATGGAAAATCTGCAGTTCTAACAGGCTTCCAGGTGACAGAGGCTTTGCTTCTGTGGGCAGCACACTCCAAGTTATACTTGAAAACATTCAAACTTACTGCCGTACAGTGGTTCTGACTCACAGGCACCCTCCATCGGGTTCCAAGGCTATCGTCTCGATGGGAGGAGTGGGGAGAATGTTTGCCTCCCCATTCCCTAAAATCATTGGTGATTTCTAACTGCTTCAGACTTCAATTTGGTTAGCAGTACAACACACAATGGACTATGCCACCAGGACTTGGGAGAAGCATAGGCCTGTCCTAATAGCAACCATGTACCCAATACAAGCCCTCCTCAGTAGTTATACCACACAATCATACCCTTAAGAGCTTTTCTTAAAACTAAAGAGCATTTCTTCTAAGAGAATTCAACATTTGTACTCCCTACAATATAACTTAACCAACTCTACTGAACCTAAAAAAAGTTAAATTTTAAAAAAAAACTGCAAGAAAAAAGAATTTTTCTTTATTCTTTTACTTTTTAAAGAGAAGAGTGAACTGGGGGGAGGGGTGGGCAGGGAGAAAAACTGCAACAATGAATGAAGGGAAATCCAAAATCTCTGTAAACATTCATCAAAATTAATAAAATAAAATTTAAAATTTTAAAGTTTAAATTTTAACTGTTAAAATCTCTAACTCCCTGGAAATGTTCAGGTGGTAATAAAACAGCAAGGAGAAAGCACATGAATGTGCCATTTAGCTCACAGGCTCAGGGAGTGTAACTGGAACAAGGTTCTACACCGAGAAGTGTAGGAAACAGGAGGAGCAAGCTTCCAATCCTATAGAATTTTACTGTCTAGTCCAGACATCAAGAGAGGGCCAGAAAAGGCTTTGAGGTGGACAGAGTTTCAAGGGAAGACAATTTTATGGAATGTCATGAGATTCATGTTTAAAAAGCAGCCCAGAGTTCACCTCAACTGGAGTGGTAGGAATAAACATGAGGGAGTTGAAGCCAGAGTGAGCAGAACCTGGTTCCAAATGGACAGATGTAGAGAATCACTGAGGCTTCCTGAGCGAAGCTGTGACGGGGTCAGAGCTCTATCATAGGGTGGTGGAGCAGGATGGTTAGGCAGAGGAAGAGTCAGAATTTGATGATAATCCACTTGAAAGGACATGAGCTAGGGTGGAAACAGACTGTAGAGAAGAAAGTGACACAGGAGGCTACACCTCGGTAAAATCCTTATTGTTGGGCAAGTCCATTCCAACTCAAGGCAAGGTAAAGGCAGAGAATGGACAAGACAGGCTTTGAACTGGGAGACCTAGAAGGCATGAAGATGAAGGATCATGAGGCAGAGGAGGGAGGAAGGCCAATCAAGTATGGGCCTTGTCTGCTGGGAATGGAAGAGACATTTGGACAGATGTATGTAATGAGCAGAATTACAGATGGAAGGGCAATCAGTTTTCTTCTAAAAATACTGATTTTGGAAGCCGTCTGGGTAGAGCTGAATGAAATCACATACAGACATTTGATAAGATGCTTAGGAGTGGGAAGAACAAAGTTAGACCATTTACTCTACAGTCAAATGGAGAAAAGAAAGGCCCAAAACGGCAAGAACAGACTTGATGGGGAAAGTCGGCTGCAAAGGAAATTATGTTTTACTGAGGTCAAATCTCAAAAACAACCCAGTGGATTTTAACTGGTGGCAGAAGAAGAAAGGGAAAAGGCCTACAGGGTGGGAAAGGCAAACCCACATATAATTCTGAAATGAGATTAGAAGTGATTTAAATGTTAAATGTGAGGAAAGATGGGGCTGTACAGAGTATGCTTTCAAGTTTGACAGTGAGAAAAGGAGTAGGTTATGGGGTCAAGAGACACATTTACAATAAGGAATATCAGGTAGATTTGCAGGTAGCATAAGAAGATGTTAGCAAGCAGAAAGAGGGAGATTGGTTTTGTAAAGAAAGCAAGGTGACTTCTTTCTCAAGGAAAGGGTTTCCAAAGAAGAATTCAGGTGAAAACGGATAGAAGGTAAAATTAATTTAGATAGCCTGATTTTATTTTAAAAATGGGGAGAAGCCCCCCAACATCATCCACTAAGAAACAAAAAAAGTTAGAGATCTAAAAAGATTTGACAGATTTTCAAACTACAACTAACCAATGATGATAGACAGCATTATTTGTGACCATCAATTTGACTACAAACTAGCAAAAACACCTGTTTATGTATAAACTATCCTTTGTCTAGAACTACACAGTAACTAGAAACCGACCCTTAGCTTCAGCAACACAGAAAAGCCCTGCCCATTCAGCAATGCACTCCAAAACATGGTGTTCCAAGTCGTCATCGTTCCAAGCTATACTAGGTGAGTATACATTTGTTAAGTAAAAGCAGGAGGAAATTCCTCCTTCAGCAATTAAAATGGGATACACAAACAGGCAACTTGCATTACAAGATACAAGCTTCTTGTCTTTCACATCCTCACTAAGATCTTCAAGCAGGACATTTTTAAACAGAGCAGAGACCTGCAAAATAATAGCTACTTTTCCTGGCAGGCCTCATACAAGCAAATAGTCCTTTCATTAAGAGACCTGTAAGATTTGGGCTTCCTACATACCAAAAGTAGTTTTTACTACACAGGTTTTCACTGCTTATCTTTATTTCACATTTTTCATAATTTTATGTGAGTTTCTGGTTTATCTATTAACTCCTACTTCAGCCTTTTCACCAATTGTTCAAAGAGAGTTAACAAGACTAACAAGAATGACAAAAAGCAGTGAGGAACTTAGCTTCAAAAATAAAATCTCTCCATTCTTCAGTTATTCTCTAGGTAGCCTCAGAGAGAGATCTCATTAGGTAATACTTGGGTCTTACCTTTTGCTATGTCCAGGAAAATATCTGATGTATTTGTTGTCATGCAAGGACAGGTAACGAATAGTATCTGTAAGAAGATAAATAAGGCACGGTCATCTCTTACTCTTCTTAAAGAAATGTGCTTTATATTTTCATTTTTTAAAAAAATATGGTCAAAGCACAGATTGTTTTCATAACTCAAGCAAGATATGATAATGGTCAGTGATTCCTCTTTCCATGTAGAGAAAAGTGAGCACATACAGAAATTGTTTAACTCAAAACCAGAGATCTTAAATTGAAACCATACAGAGCAATGCTGACAATCACTGTTCTACTATTAATGTTCTCTGGCTTCCATAGAATTTTAATACAGCTTGCACAGCAAATGTATCCTAATCAAAACAAAACTGTTTTAGGCCTTGGTCTAGTATGCCCACAAAACAGAACCCCTTAAAAGAAAATATTTCACTGCTAAGAAGCAGGACTGGAGAGGTAAGGGTGAGCATTCACGCTGAATGGAAAGGCTAGCCAAGGCAGATGCCTGGTGCAGGGCTTTCCAGGAGCACATTAACCCACCCTGACCTCATTTGAATATCAACTGAATAAACACAATAAACGGCAAGAGAAGTACTACTATTGATTCTACTATTTCTTTTCTCATTAGCCAACTAATTTACCAGTTCCACATACATCAAGTAAGAATACTTTTGAGCTTAAAACAGACCAAAAAAGGATAGGAGGGGCAAAGAAGTAAAGAGATTTAAATGAAAAAGATCTTAAGACATTTTAAAATCAAAATCATAAAACATACCAAGCTGTAAGAGTAAGATTTTGACAGTATCAAAAGAATAATCATATAGAGATTTATACATGATAAAAACACACATTCTAAAAAACCAAATTATTCTGAGGTAAAAAACAAACATAGGTGATGAGGGTAGGTGACGGAGTGCCAAAACCAATAAACTGTAAAGTACTGTGGCCCTGAAAGGTCTAGGAATAAAGAACAATTGTTGAGTAGGAAGAGGTAAGAGGAAATGATGCCAAAGTGCAGGAAAGCAAACATTAATGAGGCAAACAGAAGCCAAGAATAATGAGGCCAAGAAGTACCAAGTCATTTCAGTGTTCTTTCTGGTAAAAGGGTATTTAACCCAGAAGGGGGAAAATAGGCACTCTGTGCTTTCAATTATCTGAATTATACATAATTTTTCTTTAAATCACCATCAAACTTACCAAATAACAATTACAAAGTAGTATTGGTTGTTTTACGTCTACGAGATACTCACATGCCCTCAGAAGGAAAAGTCTTTCTCTTCATTCATTACCTGGTTTCCCAGAGGTAAGCAAGGTGTCGCCATCCTCTCTTCCCCACTCAGTAGCTGATGCACTGTTCCTGGCAAGGCAGTGGCCTGTACAGTTATCTCCTGTACCGGGTGGTATCATAGACCCTCAAACTGTACAAACTACTACCTCAGCCTGGAATCAGGCAGAAGGAAGGAAGAGCGCTGCAGGAACTCTTCAGGATACACTCGAAACAGGAAAGACAGTATCTTCATAGAAGACCTAGCAGCAAAGCTGCAAGTCGTACACATCTGCCTCGTCTTGCACTATATTTGAAAACTATACATTTAATTCCTCAGAAAAACAGCCCACAAAAAGAAATATACCAGTCTTACAGTCTTTGTTCAAAAGCATCAATTATATAACTGCAAGCAAAAAAAAAATCATTAAAAATCAAAGAAACCCCAAAAATGTATGCCTGGTGGCCCTTATGTAAGCACAGTGAAAACAGCAGTCTAAGTAATCCTTGTGGAATGACATTAGAAAAAATTTTTCTGCAAAAATAAGTTAATAAAGCAGCAAGATTTTAAAACACAACAACAAAAACACACAATTCATTCATCTCAAGAGTATTAACATGAAAATAAGAATTACAACAACAAAAAAGTTACAACTCAATTACCAAGAAAATCTGTCAACAAAGAATAACATGCCATGGGAAATGCAGGTAAAAATAGAGACCATTCATTACACAAATTTACAAGTTTAATTTCTAATAATATCTCTTGTATTTTTTAAAGACAGTAGCTATGACAATAAAGCAGAATCAAATTCAGACCAAAAAAATGTTCTGGTAATCAAAGATGGCTAACATCAGTATAGTCACACCAACCATAAAAAATGAACATTATTTAAAAACTCTAAATTTCCTGAAATAACATAGCATAAGCATTTATGAAAATGTTTCTCAAATGTGTATATTTTGAATATGAGCATAGCTTGCTTACCAACTTCTGCATCAAGTATTTTTTTTCCATTTTAAAGTATTCTTTCAACTTTCAAGAAGTACAAACCATAAATACAAAACATTCTTTTTCCTACTCCTCATTCTCAGCTGAAGACTCACAGTTCTAAATTCTAGATAAGGTGCTGGTTTGCAGCATTCTTCAGTAATAACAAGGTCATTAACCCTGCTAACACCAGAGGTAAATATTCAAACTCAAGTAACCATAACCAAACCAGCAGTTCTTGCAATGATTTTGTGAACAATTTAACAAAGGAAACCATGAACATAACTTCCTAAGAAGGCTTGCTTACCATCTATTTTGTTCGAGCTGTAAACCACCGTGTTTGCTGCATGTGTGTATCTGATGAGGTCCACACCGTATTTCTTACTGTACAGGGTTCTCTTCGGTCTGAAGAGGAAATAAACAGAAAAAAAAATTAAAACACACACACACACACACACACACACACACCCCTCCAAAAAAAACTCGTCAAAATCCCCCTTCACCAAAATTTGGGAAATCCATAAAACAAGACGCAGGTGAAGTGGCAAATTTATCTTTGACAAATTTTAAACACTTGAAAGAAGCATTTCTTTCAGCAAAAGAGGGAAAGCAAATTGATTAAGTATGAGAGATGTCAAGGAAGCCTTTAGTCTCTGAACATCTAATGCTGGAGGTAAGGGGATAGAAAGTTAATTTGGGACCTCCAATTAATCTTTACTACAGTGAGCACAAGGGGAAAAAGTACATCTACCTGGGAAGAAAGGAATACTCAACAATTTAAGTCACAACTGTGAGCAATATGGAAATGCCAAATCGAAGGTCAGACTTTTCTTAAAGCCATTCATTTAAGGCAGTGGGTTAGCACAACTGAAACCAGATGCAAAACTGCTGCTTTTCCTAATAAAAATAACTAGCTCCTGCTAAGGTAGTCCTCCTCCCACTCTACAAGTCCAAAGAACTTTTTTAGAAGCGTCATTCTTATTCCTCAGCAAAACTAGTTAGGAGTTTTCTTCTTTTCAAACAATCACACATTTCTAAATCTAATGGTTATCTATCCACTGAACAACATTACCTGAATGATCACTTCTAAACGAACACTAAGATTAGCTGAAAGTAATTTTGGCAAAATCTTTAAAAATGCTCTCATACCCTGTTACATTTAAACCTCATGCTAATGTTTAGTAAAAATTCAAATTTATGAAAAAGAAATTCAACTCTCAATTGAAAATTGTTAAAACCAGTTGCTAAATAATCAGACAATTCAGGTAGACTTAAGAAATCAATTACTGGCATTTTTGGTTTGGTTTTTATATGTCAGTGTAGTCAACATATAAGCCTATTTCCAAATAAAATTCCTCACTTCTAATACACAAGTTTTCCCAGTCTTCCTTTACTGAAATAATACCAAAAAACTGGGTCACAGGCTACCTAGTTGAGTCCAAGATCTGTCGTTCTAACCTGGAGTTACCATGAGGTAAACTAGTGAGTATGTGACTGGGTAGTCAGTGTGCACTCAGAAGGTAGCTGACTTTGCTTTTGCCAGTGAGTGGAGCAGTTTCAATTTATCCTAGTATTTCATTTGATTTACATAAAGTAGAAGGAGCAAGAGTGGATACGTGATAAAAAATTGTGCTGCAATTCCAAAGGCATGTGGTTCAAATCTACCAGCTGCTCTGCAGAAGGATGGGCAATCTCCTCCCAGGCCTCTGAAAACTTGCTAGAGGGTCAGTTAACAACACAAAGAGTAGAGCAGAACCTGAGAAGTTAATGTTAAAAGTGAAAAAAATAAAACATTATTTGTCTCAAATACATTGGTAAGAACAACCCAAGATTTTTTAATAGAAAGCTACTGCTTTCATTTCACATTTTAAAGACCCTAATTCACACTGCATCTATTTCAAGGGGCTTTACAAAGTTCACTTATATTTTTTCCCCCTCCTTTCTTCCTGGTTTTTTGTGTTTTTTTTTTAACATTCCCTGCTTCAAACCCCCCTAACATTCCTCTTGGCATAATTTTTATCAATTATTACAAACAACATCCTTGATATTCTGGGAGCAGAAAATTCACTCAAAAGATGAACTCCATTACACTAGAAGACTAAAAGAACAGTAAACTGGAAAGTATAGAGCATAAAGAATCTTGTTTTAGCCAAACAACAGACAGGCATATAAAGTGAACAATAACACTGGAGCATATCTGATTTCTCAAAACCATCAATCACATTAGAGCTGCCATTTACCCAAAACAAAGCCCAGGAGGTAGGAAAGAAAGACCAATGGAAAACAGAGGAAGTGAGAGTACTGCCACACTGAGGAGATTGCAATCTGCATGAAATAAAATGTGTATGACTTGCTGGATAGAAAACTAACTTACTTTTTAAACTTTCACTCAAACCATAATAAAAAAGTTAAAAAATACATTCTACATTTGTTCTCCAAAGAAAAATATAAATTTGGTTTTGCCCGTCTTAAGCCTGAAGTTCTAAAACAAGTACCATTTAATAAAGATAATATGCCATACAAGGAAATATTTTTCTTACAATGTGGATATTTACACCAGTGGCAAACTTTTTTTCACATTACCACTTAGAATCATGGATTCCTTGAAGCTAAGAGTCTTGGAGGGAATGATCCTCCCACACTTAACATGGATAAGTGATTTGACGAATGTCACAAAGATAATAAGAGCAAACTGCTCTTATGCGCCACCGAAACTAATACAACTCAGAGCAATCATATGAATAGTGGATCTGAACCCTGTCCTAACCTGGGTCATCCTCATCACTTCTGATATACTTGAGTCCACTGCTGCAGTCACTTTGTCAATCCTTGTCAAGATGACGGGATGACACTCCACTTTTCCAAGAATGAAGTCCCAATACCCCTCCTGATATGTCCAAAGCATGTGAGACAAAGCTTCAGACAAACTAGAACTCAAGGTTTCCCCAACCACTGTACTAGGCTGCTCATCCTTCCACAAAGTCACAACTCCTGGAAGTTTAAACGAACATGTCCCAATGGTTATTGATTTTATAAAACATAATGCACGGGGAATGATTGTATGACACACAATATGAATGAAGAATATTGCAAAACACAATGTATATGAACTTTGTGAGCAAATCAACATAAAACAAAAATTCAATAAAAGCTCCTTTACGAAGTAAAAAAAAAAGAGAGAGAAAGAACATGTCCCATAGAATTAAAAATTTCCTAATTTGGGAAACTATGCTCTGGTTATGTAACAGAATATTCCTGTGCTTAGAAAATTCATTCAGAATTGCTTAGGGATAAAGGTACTAGGTACCTTCAACTTATTCTCTAACGTGGTGGCAGTGGTCGTGGGATTGTACACAAAGAGAAATATTTACATAATGTTAAAGCAAAGAGAGCAAAACGAAACCAACTGGTGACACATGTCATAATTTTTCTCTAAGTTTGTCATTAAGTAAAAACTCTTCATGAGTGAATTCATTAACTTAAAATGGGCAAGACAGGAATTAAAGTGGCTATCATCCCTCTCAACAGTTAAAAACTACACAACTTTAGGAGCTAACTGATGAAGACGTGCTCCCTTCATTACCTTTGAGGGCTTCCACCTCCATCCTCAGGTGCCAGGGGAGGATTTAATCTGTACACAAGTACTTAATATTTCAAACAAACCAGCTTCATCTTACTTTTGCCTCTAGGACTCCTGAATCTCAATCTCGGTCTCAGTTTTAAACGTTACTCCCTCGTCTAAACAGATTCAAGTGATCCTACCTGGATAAGAATCCTATTAAATGCATCACAGGAATGCAAAGAAGTAGGAAATCTCAGTTCGGCGGGCAATTGCCCCTTTCCCCCATCACCACTGCAGGCTACAATGCAGGCAGATCCAAATACAATTAACTACAAAATACTGTGCGACAGTCTATGCAAAAACTCAAAAACTCCAATTTAAAAAAAAAAACAAACCCCCAAACCGAGGGAGACAGTTACATTATTATAGTTCGGACCAACACATTATTTCATGTAGCCAAGAACACCAAGTTTACTAATCGGCTTTCTAAAATCATTTAGGGGGGGGAAAAAAGGGGGGGTGTGTAAAAAGAAACATTTGAAGAATGTGCGCGCCAGATAACAAAATGAAGTCTGGCGAAACTAAAGCCACTAGTTTAAATCAAACACCCGCAAGCCTGCTTACAGAGGGTGCCTGCGGAGAAATCACATTCACCGCTAACAGTTTCTAATGCAAGGCCCTAACAGGGGCTGGGACGAAGCAAATCCACGGGGGAGAGACGGGATCCCCCTCCAAGCGAGACTACAAGGGGCCCCAGAAAAGTGCTGGACGCGGACACTCTGCAGAGGAGGGTGGGGCGGGTCTCCCGGAGGACTCCGGCAACGGAAAAGTTTCAGGCCCAGACCTGGAATTCTACTAGATTCAAAGGGGCCAAACAATGCGTGCTGGGGGGAGGAGGAAAGGTGGAAGACCCGAAATTGTGACACACGCTTTTCTTTGTTATAAGGTCGGGATGGGAGGGTCAAGTTTGCTTCCAGGGCTGGGAAGACATCAACAGGAGAGGAGGGGGAAAGAAAGTTCCAGATGGTGTTAGCGAGTTTGCGGTTGACGTGGACCCGGGTCTGGGTGGGAAGCTCGGGGAGGACGGGGCGGGGGGCCCCCCGACAGGTAAGAGCTGACAGCTGGGAAGTGCGGGCCCGCCGCCCAGGGGCGGATGGCCAGGTCGCGGGGCCCGCATGGGTGGGCGCAGTGCCAGCGCCCAGGCCGGGTCACCCGGGGGGGGGGGCGCTGGTGGAGGACAGCTAGCCCCGCGGTCAGCGATGGGGCCGACCCGCACCGCAAACCCAGGCCGAAGAGCCCAGGACGCAACGCAACGCGACCGGCCGGGAAGGGAAAAGCGGCGTTAAAGGTCAAGGTCAACGAGGGGTGGCAAGCGACGCGCAAGCGCGCCCCGCAGGGATCAGAGATCTAAAATGATGATGATGGTGGTGGCACCGATGACAATAAGAGGAAAGAGGGGTCCCCGGGATGACCGCGGGGCGAGAGGCGGCCCCGGCCTGGGCGAGCGCCCACCAGGCCCGGGCCGGGAGTCGGGGTGGAGGGCGGGCCGCGGGCGGGACTCGGCCGGGACGGGGCCACGGCCGCACTCACTTGCCCTCCTGGCAGTCATAGAGCACGATGGAATCGTCGTCGCTGCTCGAGATGACCGTCTCGCCGTTGGGGCTGAAATCGAAACAGTTAATTTTGTCCGAGTTCTCGCGGAACACCTTGGCGACACGGAAGCTCCGCAGCACGCTGTCGGTCAGC